GTGTGTGTGTGTGTGTGTGTGTGTGTGTGTGTGTGTGTGTGTGTGTGCGTGTCTGTGCTCACTGCCACAATCTTCCTGATACTCCACCACAAACATTCCCCATAGTTTGTTTTACCATATAAGGCAGTGGTGCGTCCCTGGCAGCCAGAGAATGCAAAGTGGTTGCTAAAGGAAGGGGCATGGCCAGAGACAGAGAGAATACCAGCTCTGAAAGAAAGAACAATCAAAGGGAGGAAATGAAAGAATGTTTGGCAGCTGACTTCCTGTCACTGTTTTTTCAAGATCCTCATTTGCAAATTAGCGTTCAGTGTCTATCTTTAGAGTAAAAGTTTGTCATTCGACTTTTTTTTACCTGAACATTGGAGTCACATTTGTTATTTTTGGCAAAAGCTTTGCATGTTAACGAGCTTGTGTTGCTCTAAGCATGTGTTAAAGGAGTTTATTAAGCTGGAGGAAATGTATTTTTAACACTACATTAAGGACTTACAGGAAAAACCTCTTCTCTTCCGTGGTCATGGTTGAGTGAATTAGAGGCATGAGAGTATGTACTGTATGCACATAAGCTTCTTTACTTGACACAAGGCTGTCTCTGTCTACAAGGGAATCCCCCCCCGTGATTGGTAAATGCTGATGACAGATAACACCCCAGGTTGCACACATCTTATTGCGAGCGTAGATATACTGCCGCAAGGCTTCTTGTATTTGTGTGTCGCTTGATGAATGACGACACACATTTTACTTGAAAGGAAACTAGCCGGTTGCTAGCTGGTGATGTTTGTTAGCGAGAGGCACGTATTGACCGAGTGACAGTGTTTGTTTGCATGCTTGCAGAGCGTGCGTGTGTCTGGAAGTGCATCACAGCGTCTGATGTGCCAGTGTGGCTGAACCTAAAGGCTTGTGGATAGTTTGTTTGTTTGTGTGCAGGCGGTATTCTTCACAGCACATTGCTTCACTAATGGAATAGCAATATCTGTTATTTCAGGCTCTGGTTTAATTGTGCTCAATGTTTCTCACTCACACAGATGTAGTGTCGACAGACGCAGACCTGTGTGAAGGACATCGCTGATGAGATTTCAAGCTGTCCGACCGATTTGTGACCTTTCATTCATTCCGTGTTGGGTTAGGTTTTCCTCTATCAAGTGCTGGCTGTTTTAAGGCACGTCAACGCGAGTCCGACAGACATTTCCTGTCTCATATCAGCGGCCTCCCCTGGCAGCTCTGGGTGCAGGAGGGCAGGACCTGGGAGAGCACAGAGAAGGAGAGAGAGAGAGAGAGAGAGAGACAGAAAAAGAGATGTGGAAAGACTGACTGACTGGCTAGTCAGCAGTTTAAGATGACATGGAGACGTGGAGGAGAAAATCTTAAAAATTATATAAGAGGCCAGTGCCAACGAGCAGGAAACCATGCTTTCATTTCCTGAAATATTGAGTGTCTGACAGAATGGAAGATGAGAAGTCTATTTATTCTCGGCACAAACAGACTTAATAACTCTTTTCCATTGAGCTTTCTGAGTGTGCTCTTCCCTTCCCTGCAGTGTTACCTTTCCTCCTCACTGCCAATCCTTTCTCTTTTGTCTGTTCTAATGACTTTATCGTGCCAAATGCTATCAGAGTGACTCATCTACCTGTAAGCTGAATGGCAGACACTCTTGACTGTTGATCCGACTGGCAACCTGACTTCTGAACTGAATGACTAGCTAATGAGTCACTGACCTACTAACTGCTGCTCTGTAACTGAGCACAGAATAACGTCTGTTTGTCTGAGAAATCCCCAGGTGTTTCATTTTAGTAACGGGGAGTTAACTCGTGTGAGTACTCTCAGTTTGAATGAGTAATTCAGCGTTGTGGCAGTTCAAACGTGGAGTTATGTTGTGACGTCTGAGCTGCCTGGTTGTAAACTTTTATCAGTGGACAGACTCTTTGTTGTGACCTTTGTATGATAACTGAGGTGGGCGGGTTTCCAGGTTGAAAGCGGCTCCCTAGGAGGTGGTGGTTGGATAAACTCACTGTCCCACTGAGAGGAAATGCCTGTTTAGTTGTCTGTTTTCTTTTTCCTCTCTCTGCCTTTGTCGACCAAAGGCAGATGAGAAGAAGCTCAATTGTCCGACCTACTTGTCCCAGTTCTGCATTCACAGTCACAGGAAATTGAGATTTTGTAAACGTTTCATTCAAATCCAAAGTCCCGTGATCTTCAGATATTAAAAAGGATTACAGTCTCCAGCCAGACCGCTTCTGTAGAAGATCCTCCAAGGACCTCCAGCTGTCTCCGTTTCTGTTATTATTCATCAGCGAGACAACTATTGATTTGTGAAACATGAGCGGGCCCCAGAGAGCATGACAAATAGATTACAGTACCTCACTTACAGATGGAATTAAATATATTTTAGTTCACTTGCAGTCAGACTTCTTTATGTGGATTCAGTCGTTGTGTCTTAATATGAGTATACACAACACAGATGCAGTACTGGCAGAATATCCCCCTACAGTCATTACAATACAACTGTATTTTAATAATAAGAGTGCTTGCAGAGGCATTGCACCAAATGTAGCTGCCTTTCTCCCAACATGTCTGCCTCGATCCACTAGTAACACCTTCCTAAAGAAGATGCACAGTTTCTTTGCAGTGGTAAAACAGGTGAAACTCTGTTTTCCCCTTAACGAGTTTAGATATTCCATAATAACACACAACTTTAGTTTTTGTTTATTTCTTTTACAAAAACATACAGTATATAAACTGTCGCCAAAGATGAAAAATCTCTATTATTCAAAAAGTCTTACTTTAGGGGGAAATTCAGTATTTTCCAAAATACATAATCACTTAATCGTAACTGTTCATTTTTTATAAAACAGAGGTTGTTTGGTTTAAAAATGGAAGAGAAGGAGATTTTCTGTTCATTCCATTTTGATGAGACAAGGAACTTTCAGTCAGTGACTATTGCTCTGCACTCCTCGTGTGAGAAGCTGAGGAATAAAATGCCCGATTTTAAACACAGTAGCGGTGATCAGGAAAACACAGGACAGGACAGAACGCCTGATTTCTAGAAAAATAAACTTTGATCGATGTCTAATTCTCTTTTATTTCATTTCAACATGATCTTAGAAAGAGCTTTATATTTAAAAGTGTAGAGGTAAGCTTATTTTAGAGTGGACTTATTACATATTTGATTTTGCTGTGCAGACAGAATAAAACTACAAGTTGCTGTCCTTTTTTTTTCTAACTGTTTTATATATTTTTCAGCTGCTGACTTTTCTCCCCCCCCCACTGCCCTCTTTGTGCCTTTTCCTTCTCTTTCTGTTTTATGGTGGGGAAAAAAGGGGGAAGGGAAGACCAGCTTGGATGATTTAAAGTTGAATGAATGACTAAATTTCTCTCTTCCCACATATTTTCCTCCTCACAGGCGGAAGGTGATGTAGCAGGTCTGAACCGTAGGATCCAACTGGTGGAGGAGGAGTTGGACCGAGCCCAGGAGAGGCTGGCCACAGCACTGCAGAAACTGGAGGAGGCTGAGAAGGCCGCAGATGAGAGCGAGAGGTCAGTTTGTGATAAAAAAAGATTCAACCTTGATCTTCTTTAGATTTGAATTTTGTTTATGTGCATTTATGCCTGCAATTGTGTGAGAATGTGTGTTCCTGGCTTTCTAAACATCATTCAAAGCCTTATTTATGTCTTGTCCAATCAGAGGGATGAAGGTTATTGAGAACCGAGCGAGTAAGGACGAGGAGAAGATGGAGATTCAGGAGATACAGCTGAAGGACGCTAAACACATCGCCGAGGAGGCCGACCGTAAATACGAGGAGGTGAATTTGACAGCGGGAGCTGGTTCGGAGCATTTGCACTCCACTCTTCATTGTAAATTTTAGTCTTTAGTCTGACCTACTTTTGTTCGTTCGGATTCTGTTGTGCTTCAAGACCAAAAACCTTTATTGATTATTGTCCCAGGTTGCCCGTAAACTGGTGATCCTGGAGGCAGAGCTGGAGAGAGCTGAGGAGAGGGCCGAACTCTCAGAATGGTAAAACTAGTGAACACACTAACACGAGAGCAAATACAGACATGGTCGCGCCTTTCGCTTGTCCATTGAAACCAAGCATGTGTCTGTCTCCCTCCACAGTAAAGCCGGGGACCTGGAGGAGGAGCTGAAAAATGTGACCAACAACCTGAAGTCCTTAGAAGCCCAGTCTGAGAAGGTGAGACTGTCATGTTGCATGTGGGTGATATGCATGCCGATGACTGGACCGTGCAGCAGAAATACACATTTAGCTATAAGTATTACTTCTTTTTTTGGCCTCCTGAGCTGCCAGATTAGTGGTGTTTTTCCACACAGGACTGCAACAAACTTCTCTTTTTTTTATCCAGTAATGTTCAAGATAAACATAATCTCAGGCCTATTTGAAAGGCTAGCCACAAAGTGGTAGAACAAATTAAATGCATCTGTTCAGAATGCATCAACGGAAAAACGTATTTTTTTAATCATATTGGCAAATACTTAGACAGCTGATTAATGGGTTATGGAGTTGCTTTCCTTCTCTTTCACAAATAAACATTCTAAATAAATACAACATCACATACTGAACACCCGTTCTGGCGACCAGCGTGTGCTCATCTCCACTTCCCTGTATGCTATCATTGTTCTCATGGCTCAGTGGACAGTAATTTGAGTGAGTAGGGAGGGAGTAACCACATCACCAAAGTATTGTTTCATACAACCGGCATTATAATTGTATATCATCAGGCCGTACTTACAACGCAACCATTTATTTTCCCCTCAGGTTGTTTAGATGCAAACCTGAACGTATCAAGATAGCTGGACAACCATGATATGTAGATGTTTGAATCTGACAAATTTAAATTCTTTAATGTCACGTGCACAATTGCTAAGAAGCAATCGTTGGTGATGAATATCTTAGATCTTAGGCTCCCCCTAACAATGTTCATTAAAAACCCGCTGAGGCTTTTTCTCATATGTGCAGGGTTAATGGCAGCGTTCGGTGTTTTGGTGAACCAGCAGCTAGTAGAGGCCTGCAGCGCATTCTTCCTGCTTGTTACGTTAAATTCCTCCCCAGGCACCGGCAGGCAGAATGACGGCATGCCAGACTTACCACATGACTTTAAGAAATACATGCCATTGCTTTGTTCGGTCAGGCCTGTTCCCAGGCCATGCTAACGCCTCGCCTCTTTCGTGCCACTACCTCTCTCTGCATATCACTCCTCAGAGGGAGTGGTGCCATAGCTGTTAGAGCAATTATTATCCTTGTATGATGAGTTTGTGCATTCACATTGTGTGCATCTGTAGGTGAAAGAATGAGTTTGCATTTCTGTAACTGATTAGGTAATGCTGTTTCTCTGTGTCTCTGTATGTCAAAAGTACTCCGAAAAAGAAGACAAGTACGAAGAGGAGATCAAAGTTCTGACTGACAAACTGAAGGAGGTGAGATCCTGATTATGTATTGTATGATTTTTGGGGGGGAAACAAATCAGCAATGTCCCAAATATAAGCTGGCACTATTGTGATACTTTAAGAAGAAACACTGCGACGGGCCTCACAGTTGGGTAGAGGACTTGGACACATACAGTGTAACTGCAGTGTCTCTTGGTCAAATCAGGCCATGTCATCATCTGATACTCTCACCCTACGTTTCCTATCCCCCTCTACTGGATACGTCTTTAAAAAAAAAAGGAAATGCCAAAAAATAATCAACTTACTCATCAAGTTTTCATTAGATTTAGGATGTTATTTTTGTTACTAAATGGATGATTTTAAATGGTTCTACATTCATTTTTATCTGTTTAAAGTAATAACTCACCCCCAAAATGATCAGCTGTGTATGAATTACTCCCCCCGTACTGTTACCTTGAGTTTCTTGAAATCTTTTTTACTCTCGCATGCATCCGCTGGAAATGGAGAGTTTAGAAACAGAGAGAAAACTTGATGAATATGTAAATGGCGCGGCGTTTAACATCAGCCAACGTATCGCATCTGTTTTCAAGTACTCACACAACTCGTGCATTGTGATCGAAGTCTCATTTGTCCAGTTGTGTGCTCACCACTTCCCAAACACATGCATCTCCGCTGAAACCTTACTATTTAAAACACTTCCGCATAAACAGTTTCACGCTTGTGCAGGCGCGCTCCTCATCTGTGCGAGGACCGTTTATGTGGAAGTGTTTCAAACGGTAAAGTTTTAGCGACAATGCATGTGTTTGAGAAGTAGTGAGCACACAACTGGATGAATGAGACTTGGGTTAGACTGCACACGCTGTGTGAGTGTTTGATGTAGTTTTGCCGTTATCAAATCCATTCACTTCAATTCATCGAGACTTTTCTTTGATTGTCTGTTCACTGCGGTGGCATGCAAGAAAAACAAAGTTTTCTTCACTAACTCAAGGTAGCAAAATAATTGATATATAAATGATCATTTTAGGGGTGAAGTATTATTATTATTATCTGCATGCATTGAAAACTTAATGTCTATGGTTGCTATGGAAGGTACCGAAAGGCTCTTGAAAACCTGCGGTATTACAGTCTTGAATGTGGAATTCACTGCGTTACAGCCTCTTTACTTTGTAACATGCCGTGTCTGTGTTTCGGTCAGGCTGAAACCCGTGCAGAGTTTGCAGAGAGGAGCGTGGCCAAACTGGAAAAGTCCATTGATGACCTGGAAGGTATGAGATCAGCACCACTCACATGTCGTAGTGTTGCACCACTTCGTTCCCACTTTGTTGATGAACCACAAACAGGTTGTTTAGCGGAGTTTCTAAAAGACAACTACTCCATGTGTCAGCCAGGCCACAAAGAGGACAGAATGTGCTCGGATGTTTTTTACGTCAGCATTATTTAGTCAGGCAGGCAGCTGAGTTTAGAGTTATTGGAGCAGTTTTGTGAGACAGTCAGAGCAGGTTTTAAATGCTGGAAGCTCACCCAGCTTCAGAGCCATGAGCATAATTATGTATGCATCATTCTTTCTTCCAAGCATTTCTGCATTTTTTTAAGCCTGACCTATTTTTTTTGTGTCTTCTCCTTCCTCCCTCTGCTCTTCTTCTGTCTCTCATTCTTATCCTGCTTTTGGCTTGTTTGTGTCGCCGCTGTCCCTGACAACCTGCCGCCTGTATTTCCTGTCGACCTCTGACCTCCAGATGAATTGTATGCTCAGAAGCTGAAGTACAAGGCCATTAGTGAGGAGCTGGACCATGCCCTTAATGACATGACATCTCTGTAGATGCTCTGACATCTTCCTCTCTCTGCCTCTCACTTCACTTTCTCTCTCTTGTGCTTTGAATTCATATTCTCTCTGTGGATCATACTCTATGTGCCTTCTTCACATCTTTCTATGCAGGAAATGATTAATTAAAAAAAAATTCTTTCCTACTTTACAGCTTTTGTCTCTCAAGTTTAATGCCTTTGTAAAATGATTGATGCATAACCTCAACTACGTACTATACATTACCATGCACTCTGTGATTTCTGTAATTAGGTAACCAACAGTCTGACTTTGTCAAACTTGTAGCTTTGTACATTGTACGTCTAATTATCAGGAAGTTTATATGGGACAAGGTGAGATTTACTCTGTTTTTTGTGTGAATTAATGCAGCTTGAAATCCCCTTTGACCCTTTGAAACACTATTTTGGTTGTAAATCTAACTCATTTTTTATCGTTTTTGATATATGTTATTCCTGTCTTTACACATGGTAGCATCGGATACAACAAATGCAGCACACAAGTCCTCTAAGACATCCATAGTGTAATCTACTAACAGTCTCTGGCAGAGAATGACAGTCAGCAGTTTATGCATGAAAGGCACAGCGGTGTGGTTGAGGTTTTTGCATGTGGCACAACTTTAATCAAAAATGTTATGCAAAACATCTGTCCAGTAAAACAGTGCTCTGCGCTGTTTTGCAAGGGATGCTGACAAACCTATAAAGGAGAATACATTGCCATGGCTCGTGCAGTATTATTTGCTGATGGTTGAGGCTTCACCATGTCACTTTTCTTTTTCCCTACAGAGAAATTATCACAAGCCAAAGAGGAGAATCTGGGCATGCATCAAGTCCTGGACCAGACCCTGCAGGAACTGAACAGCTTATAAAAACACAGAGAGGAAGCTGGAGAGGATGAGATCGTCATGTAACATTCCTTTAATGTTCGATTCCATTCCACATTTCGACCTGTAAAATCTTTATTCCCAGTGTGAAGGGGGTTTAACTTAATGCTTGTCCATGATTTTTTTTTTCTAAGGCACAACTTGGTTTCTTTTTTTATGATGGGAAGTAATTTTGATCCCATTGCTTCTTTTTTATCCCCAGCTGTGATTGCAGAAATTCTCCCCAGAAATGATTTTTGACCACTTATTTAGAAAGAACCGGCAACTAACACACCCAAAGAAACCTCAGATTAGGTCACTGCCTGAACTGGCTCAATTTTACATTTTATGTGCACATACATACATTAAGCCTCTGACTGATTATTTGAATACATATGCTACAGATGGTGTTGGGTTTTGCTGCGACTACATTTGGGCTCTGAAGTGCCACCCAGTGGTGATACGATGTTAGTCAACAGTCTTGTTTTTCTGATCATGCTGTACCACCTTAAGATGCTACAAGTTAACAGACATTTGGCTTATGTGTGCCTGTTTTAGCAGTATGGTACTTAATCTGGTTGTGTGATGGGGAAATGTACAGGTGACCTAATGGAAAGCTTCATTGATAAATAAACAGGTCAAGGCACATGCTGCCCAGTCTCTCTGGGCCTCCCAACATTTAATTAGAAAAAGAATGGCTCTTTTGCCATTCCCCTATTATCCTGAGGCCTACATGTTGAAGATGCACGGAGTATTCATGTGCATCAAAAGATTTTTACTCTATTTTGTTGTGTGGGAGTCTGTGCAGAACCTGAGAGCTGTGCATGTACAGTATCTAGCAGTGACCTTTCTTACCTGTACTACCTTTCCCTAAGCTAGACCTGACCGTTGACACATTCATCATGATTGCCAACAATCTGCCATAATGTAGCCAATATTTACTAGATTTACAATATATTGTATTACATGTGCGAGCTAAACCCAAAACCACTTGAAGCTCAAGTCAAGCTTTTATCAACCACGGATACTTATTGTATATAGTAGAATAATGTTAGGTATTTGAGAAATTGTATTGCTATGATTATTTTTGGTTTTGTTTTATTTACACAACTTCTTATTTTGCCAGGGGAACTCTCAAGACCAAAGAACACACATAACACAGACAATAAATTCTTTAAATGTTTTATTTTTGTTTATGATGGTCATCATGGTTTTTATCTCATGACAGGGCAATGAAAAGTGCCTCACACATGACCGAGGCCATTTTGAAACATCCCCCCCCCCCCCATGTCAACTTAATAAATGTTTTACAGAAATCATGACTCATTGGACTTTGTGTGCATTTTGAAGGATTCAAAACATGTTTTACTCATTCAATAGCAGTAGTTAAAACTACTCTACATAAAAGTGCTTTATATGATTTACATGCTGATATAATTCATTCTTTCCTGCTCTATTGTATGAAACACTGCGGGGGAGGGGGATGACATTCCACTCCACATTTTCAAGGTACAGATACATTTCTGTACTAAGGATTTAACACTTAAACCCAATATATAGTCCAGTCTTCCAGCTGCCCGTCATGGGTGTTTTGCACATTTTCTGTTCAGGAATATTTCTTTCTGAAGGCACAGCCTAGACAGACAAAAAGTAAATGCTTCAATATCTCATCATAGTCAAAACCATAAGGATAGGATTGAAACCTTCATGAAACAGTCATTTTAACATATATCCACTCACTTCCATACCTTGGAGAAATCGAAAGCAACATAAATACATATATTCATGTATTTTTTACCTTCAGTTAGTCTGCATTTCCCCCCTGCTGGTTGACAGAGGATTAAAGCGCAGCCTGCACAAGGTACCACTGTCTGGGCATGGCTGAAGATGGTGGTGATCTTGTAGCAGCCTGGGGAGTACAGAGAGTAAACTCAATTAGAATATACCACTTTAAGTTAAAGCACTTACTTAATCCCAAAACTCATTAGAAAATCAATAATAACATTTAGCTGTGTGGTGCAGTCTTACCTGTGCACTTAACATCCATGAAGTAGGAGTTGGGACTCTGCACCAGCCTCTTCTTCTTGTGCTTACTCCTCTCCTTGGCAAGACTGGGGTACAACAGATCCTTATCCTGCAACCCAGATAAGAGGATGGTTAACTTTTTCATTTCAGAGAACTGAAGGAATATCTTGTGTTTTTATTATTTCACTTATTCACTGAATGACAAGGCAATACTATGTGGTTTATGTTTTGATTATGCCGTAATGCCCCCTATAGTCTGATGAATGAATTTCTACTTTGAGCAAGTATCCTCGGACACAAACATGTCCAGGCAAGCCCAGGGATCATATCTGAGACGCTAAATACACCTGTATACTGAATACAGATAATGGTTATTTGAAATACTTCTGCATTTTAACGCATATTATCCCATGTATCAACTGATAAATACATATTTCTCATTCTGTTATATTATGTTTATCCACTGACTAATAACAGCTTTCTGTCCATCAAAACTGTTCTACAAGTTCTAACTACAAAAACATGTCGAGCAACACAAATATTTTCTTCACTTACTTGCATTTTTGCTCAAATCACGCAGGTTTATCTTGCAATGCAAATACGATATAGAAAGTGAAACTTCAAGTGCGCCCTCAACTGTACTTTTGTTGTTGTAATGTTCTGACGGGCGTTTACACTTCAGTACCGGAAGAGACTGAGCAGGCGGGGTCTTCTTCTGTAAGGGAGGGACAACAGATTGTAGTGGATGGACTGGTCCATGTTGAGTACATAATAATGCTACTTTAATAATTACTTTTGCAAACAGTACAAAAGGCACTAAATATCAAATTAAGAGCCCAAAGACACTTTAAGGAATCAAAAACAATGAATTGATCGTAGCTGTTCCGACTAGTAGATATGTTGTTTTTTAACTTTAAAAATGATGCATTCACTGTAGACATTGAAAAACACAAATAAACTTTTCCTAAACAGACTTTTAGACTGTCTTTAAACTCTTGATATTTATTGGAAACCCATTTACACCACTATGATGAAAAACTAAATATCCTGTAAGTCATAATGAGATACTATCTCAAAATAATGACAAAGCATCTTCTAATTATTACTTAGCATTTCATAATTATGACATAGTATCTCATAATTATGAGAAATGTTCTCATTATAATGACTTATAGGATATTTTTATTTATTTATTATTATTATTAAAATGGCAGAAAAGAGCTTACATAGAATATTTAGTATCTGACTAATATATTTAGTGGTACGCAACACAACACCGACTAAATATTGGTTATTTTTTAGAGAACATCCATCTCTATACGACTCATTTTGTCAAACGGCTAATTAACACATCTTTTAATCCGGGTGACCATAGACATCAAAACGAGCACACTCAACAAGAAATGCAACTTCCGGAGCCACGACGACAGAGAAGAGTGACAGTTGATTTGACCAATAGAAAAACTCTCGCACAGTGACGTCTCTGTCTCTAACAACGGGCGGGATATCCGCAGTAGTAAGCTAACTAATAACATGGCGAAGACTTACGATTACTTGTTTAAACTACTTTTAATCGGCGATTCAGGCGTCGGAAAGACCTGCGTGCTATTCAGATTTTCAGAAGATGCCTTCAACTCAACGTTCATCTCCACTATAGGTGGGTAAAAGTCATATTATCTAGTATTGTCTTAGCCGAAAAGTGGTGGGAGCAGCCCATCCCGTCATGCTAATTTGGTGCTAACTTTTCTGACTAGCATACATCTTGTAGCGTTAGCTAGTCAGGAAGCAGCCCAGCCGGCTTGTTAGAAGGGCTTTTCCAGAACTGACAATTATATTTTAACAAGTTTCTATAGTTGGAAAGCACCTGTATGTATGAGCTGCGAGGGTGGGTACTCCACCAACAGCGTTACAAGTATTTATTCTGTGTATATTAATCATGGCCAGCTGAACTAACAAGCGACAAAGCTGTCAGTGAGCTAACGTTAGTTAGCGGTGTCATTTCTCCTACGAGTTCCTGCCTGTACTTCGCACTCTCGGAGCCAACGTGACAGAACATATTAATGAACTCTTTCAACCACTCTGTGCTTCGAAAGTGAAACGTTTGTTACTGTCAGTGTGGTGCCTTTTGTCAGTTTGACAGATGAAAAGACGTGCTTGAATTGAATTGTGTGACTTCCGTTTGTTCCTCAGGTATTGATTTCAAGATCAGAACAATAGAATTAGATGGAAAGAAGATCAAGCTACAGATATGGTGAGATGGTCACAGTACATACAATGCTTTCAGGTCACAGCTTCACATGATGTGGCAGAAGAAAGATTCACGATGGATGATCTTTACACTCAGTTGCCAGTTCAAGGTGCATCTAACTAAAATGAATGCAGTAGCCCTCAAATATAATAGGGTGTATTGCACACTGGTTGTATTAGGCTGTTAGTTTTAGCAGTGTGTGTCTATTAAACTGACAAATTATTTCTTTATGGGAGCGCAACATAAAGTAGAAGTTGAATACTCATGACAATGGAGGGCCTGTAAAAAGTCTAGTAAATAAACCCTTTTTATGGTAAATAAATATAACCTTTGATATTATCAGATTTTATTATCTCTAATATTAAAATCTATATCGCTTTGTACCCCTTTTGTATCCTCTCTTCACAACGCTATCAACTTCATGATTATCCTTGTGTTTGATGTATAATAAATATCCGTTCTCAGGAAATTTAAAAGTTTAGGTAGCTGTTTCCACCGGTACTGACTAACAATATTTGTACCAATACATCCTCATCTAATACTTGTACATCAAAGGAATATTTAGGCAAATTTGCTTAGTGCATGAGGCATCTCTCAAGTCTTGACTTTGGTGTCCTCAAAGTTGCCGGTTTTGTTTTCTATGTAGGGACACAGCAGGACAAGAGAGGTTCAGGACCATCACGACAGCCTACTACAGAGGAGCCATGGTAGGTTACATTGTAATCTGAACAACTCAAATGACGGTATAGATTCTCTCTTGGACCTAACTGGGTGAAGTGGTGGTTATCTCAGGTGTGTGCACCGCAGCATAAGCCTTAACCAGAACCACACCCACCATTGTTGTTGCTAATTTTGTACACACCTGGGAAACTAGAGATGCGCTCAGTGAATTGTAATGGTATTTTTGTTTTCTTTAATTCAAGTTTAACTGGATGCCTGTGTTTGCATCTTCTACTTCAGGAACATAATTGATCCCTGTTTTATTTGGTATTCAAGTGCTGTGCTTTTAATTAAGGCTGTAAAATCATGTGATGCGTCACTAATAAGGGTTGACATGAACAGCGGAAAATCACATTAGACCCTTAATTTCCAAGTCTGTCTTCATGGACTAATGGTAATTGGTAAGGAAGGGTTTCCATTGTTGTCTGGCTGCTCATTGGTTTTATGTCTTTTCCTCTCCAGGGCATCATGTTGGTGTTTGACATTACCAATGAGAAGTCCTTTGACAACATCAAGAACTGGATACGGAATATAGAAGAGGTAAACGTTTTCCATTCGTGGACGTGGCTAGATGTGTTTTTATTTCGGCACTGATTTTTACTAAAAAGCTAAAGAGTATGTATTAATCTAATGCATTCTATGATTTATCAACTATCTGTCTGTTCTCCATGTCAAATTATCCTCCACAGCATGCATCAGCAGATGTGGAAAGGATGGTCCTTGGGAACAAATGTGACTGCAATGACAAGCGACAGGTGTCCAAAGACAAAGGAGAGAAGGTGGGAACATAAAGTTGACAAATGAATGCACTTGAGAGCTTGATTTGAAAAAGTACACTTTAACCTCGCTCTCTTGGGGAGCATATTTATTGTCCTGGCTCGTTGGGCCTGAGTACTGACACGGATTCTGTTTCGTTACTCCTGCTGTCAGCTGGCGCTGGAGTACGGCATCAAGTTCATGGAGACCAGTGCAAAGGCGAACATCAACGTCGAGAACGTGAGTACACAATTTTTCTGCGATTGTTGTCTTAGTTTTGAGTAATTCACTGCACAAAAGGGGTTAGATGAAATATCATTTTATGATAAAAGGATTGCCATGTACTGTATAGAGGGCACAGTGGTTGTAGACTATAAAACAAGAATAAAGTAGGAAGTCTTAATACGCTATCAAACTGGAAAAATCAGTTTCTTCATATTTCTTTCTGAAGGTTTCCCATTAACTGATCTATAATCAGCTAATGAGCCAGTCCACATAGCCTATACCACAAAAGACAATAATCCTATTAAATCATAGCCATAATTAGACTGTAATCACATAATCTGTTCATACAAACCCTCAGATTGTGTGCAAATCATGTGCATTGTTTGCGTCTTGTATACAATTATTGATGACTAAGAATCAATCGAGTTTCTTCTGGTTTTGATGCTGTACTTTAAACCGACAATCTTCTTTTGTCCAAAACCATTGGTCCTACCCAGAGTGCTATCATTAATGTGGTTTAATTTAATATAGAATGTACTTATTTAATTTGTTAAACCTGTTTTTGTCTGCAGGCCTTCTTAACCCTTGCCAGAGACATTAAAGCAAAAATGGACAAGAAGCTGGTAAGAGTGCAATAGAGTGGAAACTTAATGGTTTTGTGTCGTATACTATTTCTGCAGTCGTCATATTTGGTTGTGCTTTCTTATCTGTGTGTATTTCAGGAGGGCAACAACCCGCAGGGCAGCAATCAAGGAGTAAAGATTACAGAACAACCCAAGAAGAGCAGCTTCTTCCGCTGCAGGCTCCTGTGAGGAGACTTAAGTGTCGGCATCCACCTTCGCCTTACCTGTGTCCCCCGCTGGACAGAACTGGACAGAGCACACTCTGATCTCTCTTTTTATTTTTCTTCACTTGTCGTCCTCTTTTTCTTTCTCTCTACTCTGAAAAAACAAAAGTTCATGGCTCTCTTGGTTCCCTCCACAACTGTGAATATAACTCTGGCTTCTGTCTGATGCTAAATCTGATCCTTAGATTAACACTTCCAACTTGATTCCTTGAGATTGCGTTGACTTTTAAAGACACGAGAAACGATCAAACCTTTACTATTTGCAATAATGTCCGATTCCAAGATGGATTCTTTCACCTGTTGTCAGTGTCTCTTGGTGAAGTCTTAGTTATTCGATCCTTATCACTCAAAGTAGCCCAAATTATACTTCCAAAAAAAGGCTTACTTCTCCAATAGGCTTCCTAATTTTTGAATATACTCCATCTGTTGAATAATGCAAGGTGATGAGAGTACAATCCAACCCATTATGCCACATTTGTGTACTGACTTGGTGGCCTAAACTTATTATTAGGTAAACGCAACATGTAAATATCTATCATTGAGTAGGATTCACGATGTGAAACGATAGTGCCGACGCATTCTTCTCACATCAACATTGGGGTTTACATGTCCTCTTTCCAGCTTTTCTACTTGTGTCTCTGTTGATTTCTTAGGCTGAAACATTCCTCTTGTGAACACTTTAATGTGCAATGTGATGTGTGTGTGTGTGTGTGTGTGGGGCCCAGATTTAGCCTATTTTAAGTATTCACATGGTTGCAGTAAGGAGGGCTCTTGACCCAAGTATGCTTGTTTTAAGGGCACACAGATTCCTTTTGTAGTTGCTTGCCTCATCAGTTTAGGTATTGCAATTTCTATGGAAGGTAAGATGTGATTGGTGGGAGGTGGGCATTTTATTTGATGCACTTCAACTGGTGGACTAGCAATACCTAACTCTGACACCTGGAGGCAATACAGTTACACAGCAGTGGCTCAGAAGGAGTCACGGCAATGATGTAATCATTGTTTTATGCATTCTAACTTCTTCCTGTCGTCGGTTCCAACGGGGGAAGCGCGTACACAACGGTTCCCTGGGCCTTGGATTGGGGCTGTAGCAGTATTTATGGAGTGAAACAAAACATAGCACCAAAATGACAAAGTGTGCTTTTATGTTCTTATTGATTATTATGCACTTTTCCTTTGTTTGTTTTCTGTAAAGAAGAAGTTCATTACATGTGTTGACTGTTGCAGTCTCAAGCAAAGAATATTCATGCACAAGTTTTCCACGTACCCTATCTGGGCTTCCTGACAATATTTGAGCACTGAACCTTGTCTTTCGAGTTGGTATAATGAAAGTATACAGAAGGCCTTTGATTTGATTTGGAGATGTTTCTCCCATTACAACGTTCCTATCAATTGATATTTCTCTTTTTCCCGCTTCTTATGCATTTGCGTCCCCCATTGATGCTTTTGGGAACCCCTGATGCACCCTCACCCACCTAGTCTCTCTCCTCTTCCCTCATCTAGCCAGACAGCCCATGTCTCGTTTTGGTGCAGTATCGTGGCCATCTGAACTATGCATTCTGCATAGAAGACCTCAAAAAGCTTTGCACGTTTGACTTGACGAGCTTTATTTGAGAGAAATGTGCATAGGATTCTTGCTGTTTACATTTCTGCTGTCACTCCAAATTCTATTGTATTTGCTGGGTTCAGCTATTTAGGTGCAAAAATAGGAAATTTATTGAAAGCTGAAATTCACCGCTGATGTTTCACAGTGAGTGTAAATCATAGCGGTGCTGATGAGTCATTGGATTTAATATTTAACTGTGTAATTATTAACCTGTGGATGTAAATCGTTGCCGTTAACGTGGTTTGACTTTTGGGACTATTTCGGTTTAACTGGCTCTCACAGGTTTAGTCAATTCATGCCTTAATGAAAAATGCAGTTTTTTTAGACTTGAGTTTGGCTGATATTTCATCTCAATGTCATTTGATTGATTTGTAATTCTCGCCAACTAAAAATTTGCCCGGTCTATGTTAGCATATCGTCAGCATTCCCTAACTAAATTTGGATTTCATCGCTGATTATTGATGGATTTCATGGGGAATAACTTAAATAACTCAGCAATTGTAAATAAAGATCTACAGTGATTGTACTGAAGGTTCATAAATCTGTTTGATCTACACATTTTGTAGATGTGTGTTTTGATGATTTATTGAAAGAGATTCTTAAATAAATGTTTTTCAACTTATTATATTTGCACCTCTTTATTTTGAGAAATTCATGTAGATGTTTAAATATGTAAAACAATATGAAAGTTACTTTGCGTGTTTTGTTTGTCCAAAACGCACTTTGTAAGCTCATAAAAACAAAGAAAATTTGAAAAACTTGTTTCTTAACCACCCATAACGTATAGATGACCAAGCATGACTTTGTGGGAAATAAGCAATTGAGAATATCAAATGTTAGAAAAATCACTTGTGAAGTTGATTTGAACGAAAATAATGTAGGTGATTTAAAAGTTCATATAAAATGAGCATTAAAAATATGAGATTAATCCACATTATTTAATCTTTTCAATAAAAAAAACTTTTTTTTCAGTTTTCAACATGATAAAAAAAATGGCCTCATGGATTGTTTGTGTGAGAAGATGGAATATGAGCAAACGCTGTTTGACTCAGAAAACTGTGTTTGCATCTCCACAGGTGCTCTGTACCTTTGTAGGGCCCCTCTAAATAAACTGCACTGGCGCTCACCACTTCAGCATTGCACACCGCCGCGCAGCAGCATGAAGGCAGTAAGACTTTAACCTTTATGAAGTTCTTTTTCATTTAGACAGTCAACATGTGGGAGGACACTTCCCAAACTGGTTCTTTTACCTGACCTAAAGCGGCTCACCAGCATAAGAATCTTCATTGAATTGGTTTACTAAACAGTAAATAAATCACCAACAACAATAACGTCACAGATATGAACTTTAATGTTAACATAGTTCCCGTCTGTAGCTTCCTCTCTGACTAGAACAGCCGATGGAAGTCATGCACGCATTTGTTTAGCATTAGCATATTATTAAGCAGCAGCTTTCTTATTTTCTTTAAAAACCCACATATTAGGCTTCTAATAGTGGGCAAGCTTTGCAGAAAAATGGAAATGACCAACAAAGGTTTTAAGAAATCAACACAATCACAAAATCTCCCTAAACAAATGTTCTAAAGTAAACTTCACCAAGATTTGTTGCATTAAACTGCACAGGTGTCCAGGCTATATCTTTCTAAAAATGAAAAGAAAGTGTATTTGCTGCCCAGAAGTTGAGATCGCCTCAACCATTTCTCTCTATATATACTTTCCACATTATAATACACACCTCGGTGCTCTGAACCGATACTTGAGCAAATGTAACATTATGCAACGGCTGTAGCGGGCAGGACTGAAACCTCTCATTTCACATTCACTTTAACAGATCATGTCATACACCTGTGGCTTTATGATATACTTAGGCTACATTCCTATAATCCAAATACACTGTCATACTTAAAGATACGTGTTTATCTTCTGTCTGATGATATAAAGGGCCGTTTAATAATTTGTTACGACCATGTCACTTTCTAATTTGGCTGCATTTTCTAGTGTTCTCTCTAAATGTGACTGGTAAACAGCTACTCATTAAACTGTGTGTTTTGCCTCCGCCCCCTAACAAGTGTCGTCAGGTGAGCAAGATCTGCTGTGTCATTTTTATCAGGGAGCTGCCCGAGTATAGGTGAGTAACGTTTGCTGTGAGCTACGTTTAACGTAGAACTCTCTGAGTTTTATTTGCAAACAGTGTCATTTTTTTGTCATTTGAGTTTTCAATCTACGCATTTTAAATTCATTTGATAAACTTACGTCGAAGCTGTTTTGGCTTCTTCTGTATTACAAGTTAAACTGGTGAAAATAGCTTTTGTGTTGTAAACACAAAAAAAGTATTGTGGGGTTTCTTTTTAAGTAGAACTGTAGAACGATGTTCACAGTACGTCAGAGCAGCTTTTATTCAGTTATGTGTAATTGAAAGAGGAACAATGAGCATGGAAAAAGAAAAAGATCACATCACTGGCATTTGATTGCATAATCTGCAAGTTATCAATGCCACATTAGCCTAAATGCAAATCTTTGTTTACTGGCAGCTCATATATCTGTATGGGGTTTGTATTCTATGTATGCACTCTATGTACCTGTATCTTATGTAATAACTCAATGAGCTGTAAATAACGCATTTGCAGGACTTTGTCCTCCGTGAATTTTCCAACAGACCCAACAGAGGATTAAATGAGCTGTTTCCCAGGATGATGGAGCGGAGTCAGTCGTCACAAGGACAGCATGATGCTATCACCTGGTTCACAGAGTCCCAGCGCCGGCTTGTGATCAGGAACGGCATCATCCCAGAATGGTTTCATGGGATCATTTCCAGGAAGTAAGTTCTCAAAGTATATCACTGTCCGCCATCTGTAGCAGTGAATGGCAGACAGGGAGGAATGTGACGAGCCATGTTTTGAAAACCTGTGCATGACAAAGATATAAGTGTTGCGTTCCAGCATGCAGGGATTATTTTTAGTGTATTGCTCAAGTATATAGGCATGTAAATGTCTAGGATGTGTCATGTTGTGCCTCTGCTTCATATAAATTATTAATGTCAGATTATAAAGAGTAAAACTAAAAATGTCAAAGTTTATTTCTGCCCCTCCTGTCTAGAGCAGCAAAAGTAGGACTAAGAGTAATGAGGAAAGAACATATACGCCTAAACCAAGTCTAAATGTCAATGTCAGGAAGTAAAAAAGACTTTTCAGGAAGTTCTTGGCAACCAGTTAAAGATAAAGGGTCACTATTATTCTCAACCCTCATAAAAGCATTTGCTCCTTTACATGAAGGTAAACATCAAAAACACAACAAAACGTAACTGGAGTTGGAAGCATTTTGAGTGACAACAGAGATGTGTCTTTCATCTTTTCGACAACAAGCAAAACAAACAAGCAAAACTAGAGCATGCATCTTTGATCTACAGGTACAAGGACAAAACATTGATTATACACATTTATGTATGATGCACATGAGCCACAGATGTATCAGCTAAGTAGCCTCTTGAATGGTAACCTTTACTTTTATAATAATTAAGCATATTTGTACTATTTGTAATGGATTTTTCTCTTCCTCCACACCCTGTGTACACACTCCCAACTTTGAATAATGGATGAAACAGAATAATTATTAATAGGCATTGCGTACTCCATCTGTTTACTTTACTGACCAGACTAAAATGCCCTGCTGTATTTATTAGACTGTTCTTTTTCTCTTTGTTGTGTACTGAAAGCTAAACTGTTTCATACAGATCTTAAGACGATGAATTCCCAGGGAGACTTTCACAGCATACTGATTCCAGCTCCAGTTCACATGCTACATCATTTAAAGATTAAAGTGTGTGTGTGAACGTTTTTTTGTTTTGTGGCAATTTGCATACATTTTTGTGTGCAGTGTGGCAGAGGAACTGCTAATGTCCAAGCCTTCTGGCTACTTCCTCATCAGAGTCAGTGAGAGCAGGATTGGCTACTCTCTCTCTTACCGGTGAGCTGTTTTTCACATCTCGCACTCACACATTCGGTGCGACGGTCCAAAGCCCTGCCCTGGTCACTCTATTTGACACATCCTTTCCTTTCTATCTCTTTGACCCTCAGTGCTGAGGACCACTGCAGACATTTCATGATCGATGCAGTGGAGGACGGCCATTACATCATACTAGGGGAGAACAGGAGTCACCGTAGTCTGCAGGATATGGTGGACTTTCACAGACGGACTCCCATCATGCCTTTCAGTGTGGTGCTGACTGTCCCTTGTGAACAGGTGAGGAACGAATACAGGTGTCATACATTATAGATGTACAGTACATGCAGTTAGAGTTGGAACTGAGTAACCTATCCAAAACAGCACTATTTGCTTATTTGCCTTCTATCTGTGCCTTATGTAAACAGAAAAGAATCACTATTTGCTCTCTCTCTCTCTCTCTCTCTCTCTCTCTCTCTCTCTCTCTCTCTC